CGAAAAGACAGAAGACATCATATGATGGCTGGTGTGTAACAAAGCGTTGGGCTACAATTCATATAGTAGTTTAAAGCACACTCTTCTACAAATAATGAATGAAATTAGTGAGTTTACAGTCATACACTTTCACTGGAAATATATAAATGTTACAGTTCATGCTGTTTTGTTCGTATCATGGCAAGCACATTACATGTTACATGAGACTAATGTGATAAAATTTCTAACCCTATGCTTGCTAAGTATTAAAAAGTTTGGGGCGATGAGGTTTTTTGTTGTTGTTTTTGAAGGAAGTCTCTTATGCTCACCAAGGCTGCATTTATTAGATCAAAAATACAGTAAAAACAGTCATATTGCATAATATTATTACAATTTCAAATATATTTTCTTTTTATTACAATTTAAAATGAAACTTCTTCCTGAAACTGAATTTTCATAAGTCATTACTCCAGTCTTTAAAGTCTTCAGTGTCACATGAGTCTTCAGAAATCGTTCTAACATGCTGATTTGCTGCTCCAAAACAATGTTAAACAGTTGCGCTGCTCAATATTTTTGTAGAAACCATAACCATTTTTTCAATATTCTTTTGTGAATAAAAGCTTCAGAAGAACTGCATTTGAAATATAATTTTTTGTAACAATTTAATAGTCTTTACTGTCACTTTTAATTAATTTAATGCATTCCTACTGAATAAAGATATTACATTTTATTCACCTTAAATTTTGATCAGTATATTTAGATGTGTATTCAATCTTTAAACTCCTGTCATGACCTAAGCTCTTAAATGAGAACTAAACTAAGTGTGTTTACATGCATTTAAGAGTTCAGTCTGGTGATGAATATAAGTTTATTCCCACTGCTGAAAGAATACTTAACAGCTTAAATGAAACAGCTTTTGTATGACTGAATTGATATGAGCTGTTAAATTAAATTATATTACAATCGTGACAAGAAAACGGGACATTTCAATGTTTTTATAGCCTAGATTTGTTAAAGGGGTCATATGATGCTGCTAAAAAGAACATTATTTTGTGTATTTGGTGTAATGAAATGTGTTTATGCGGTTTAAGGTTAAAAAAACACATTATTTTCCACATACTGTACATTATTGTTTCTCCTCTATGCCCCGCCTTTCTGAAACGCGTCAATTTTTACAAAGCTCATCGTTCTGAAAAGCGAGGTGTGCTGTGATTGGCCAGCTATCCAGTGTGTTATGATTGTCCGAATACCTCAAGCATGTGACGGAAATGTTACACCCCTTACCATACTGTGCTGATGCCCTGTCAGGCCGGAGCGACGATTCAAAAACATGAAAACCCATTATAAACGAGGCATTCGTTGCATCCAGTGGGGACATAATTATGGATTACAATAACTTATACTTTTTCCGCATTGCGTTGCATTGCGCCGTGTAAACATAAAACCATGTCTGCATTTGTGATCAGAGAAATGACAAACAACAAGCACTACTCTACACTGCTCATTCCTAGTTCAGACTGTTAAAACATGGTGCGCTCTACTAAAATGTTTTCAGAGGTTTTGCAGTGTGAATAATTACTAGAAAGTAACATGTGCTCAAAACATTTTGTCGAGACAAAAGTCGAGACAGTTTAACAGGTATATCTTATCAACAAAACCAAAAAACTGAAGGGTTTCAATGAGCCGCCAAAAGACAATAAGCCCCTTCCCCCAGTTAAAATCCCATTATGTTAAAGGAAACCCACACTCCTCCTGCAGACCCCCCACTGGGCTTCACTCTTTCTCTCTCTTTCTCCAAATAACTAGATAATTTGCATGCTAAGTATGGGTGGGTATTTTGTTGATAATGGTCAATGGAAGAGTGATATGCAGATTAAATGAGCAGGCAGGGGGATCTATTGTTTGAAGACTCAATCTCACATGGAGCAGGGAGGAGAGGAAGACAGAAAAGAAAGAGCAGAGAGGGATCAATGGGAAAAATGCCAGTGTTTCATGAGATTCCAGATAGTTGCATAAGGTAATAAAGTAGAGACTGTGTCTAAAGATTCCTCCTGCTGAAAAAAAAACTTTTGAATTGATTCAAGGCCATTTTAATGAAAGAAGGAAAAATTCCAGACTGTTTTAATGGAAGATTCCAAACATAGTTGTACTGTTTTAAGTCACTCTGTGCTCCAAAAACACAGATACAGCTCTATCACCTTCCATACGGCGATTAACAGTAAAAAGTTTCATTGTAACAGCTTACACCTCCCCTGACCCACAAATCCTCACACTCCACCCCAGATAGAGTGACACCTATCTGGCTGGTGTGTGTAAATCCAGCCCCAGGCTTGTGAGGCCTGCATGGAGGTTGGGCGTAACAGCTGTCTCTTGCATGTGTTTGAGAAGCCATGAATAAACAGAGAGAGCCACAAAAGCTGTAAGAGCCCGAGACCACACACGCACAAAACCCAAAACACTCTCTCACACTTCACAGTCGCCTTCCTCAGCTACACATGCTGCCAAACAAATGCTACTGCAACCTTGAAACGTTACCCAACAGGCCACATGCCTTTCTCATGTTTATCCTACATGTGAAAGGCTAATCCAAAATCCTGACACATTGCATTCGTTATTTAGTGCCTGTGTCATTTCATACAGTGTCATATGTCATTTGTTTTTTCCTTTCTTCATGTACAGTCAACAGTAACAGAAATCTGATAATAGAATTACAGTAGACAGCAGATTTTCTTTCAAAGCAACTTGAATTTAAGCTATACACTTTCTCAGTTCATGCATAACCCTCTGATCCTCTTCGGTCATTTTGGACTGAAAAATTTAATGTTGTGGTTTTTTATAATTTTTTTTACTTCATCGGAATGGTACAAAACTTGGTAACAGTTTTGGCACTGGCTATGTGAACACACATACAAATCATGGACATTATTCAAAAAGTTTAAATGGTCCCAAAAGAAAAAGACACACTTGTACTCTTCGCGGTCAAAAATGGCCACATTGGAAACTAATGGGAAACAAATGTCTTCTAGTGGAAACGTTTTGTACTGCTCCCAAACTAAATTTAGCTGGAAGCTATTTTTTAAATATCAACCTCAAATTTGGAACACAACTTGTTGAAATAGCTGCTATAGTTGCAAGGATGTTCTGAAGGGTTGCTAGAATGGTTGCAGATAGACATAGACAGACAGATAGATACAAAAGCTCTCTATGTGGTTGCTAAAACGTTGCTAGGGTGCTCTGAGTGGTTGCTAAGGTGTGGCTAAAGTGTATAGAGTGGTTGAAAGACATTTGTTAGAGGGTTCTGGGAATAATTAGCCTTGGAATAATTATTACTAATCACTCTGATGATTTCCAGTAAGGAGTGGACTGTGCACATCTACTGAGAAGTATGACTCAAGTTTTCTTTTCACTTCTAACAAATCATATTTAAGTGTAAAGTGTGTTAGAAGAAGCTAAGAGAAGATCTCAGGGTGTTAGACTGGAGATACTGTAGTTATTCAGGCTAAAAGTATCCTATAGTGGGTGGAGTGGGTGATGAAGGATGAATGGTTAAATGGAATGTCCTCATGCATTCTCAAGTCATCGGGATATCGGATGAGATGCCTGAACGCTTGAGACAGACGGCAGATTCATTTTTGTTCTTTGTGCTCAGTTCTCCAGGGATCCTGACCTATGTTTCTGTAGGAATACACTGGAACTGACTCTCCTCAAATTGCACACTCTTAAATACACTCACGTGTAAAAAGAAACGAGTATGTGCACCATTGCAGATTGCTTTAATTCAGCAGTGAGTAATGGATCTCCGCCACTGTATTGTGCACACTTTATGAGTGAGTACTGGTTCGTGTGACGTTTTTGGCTTGTACGTGTGTTTATACAGGCCTTTACCATTTTATATCTGTCAGAGCTTTACCGACATAAGTAAGTACTTAATAGTTTCTACTTTACCTAACGGCAGTCTTATGACCTTGTGCTTTGACATTAATTAATATCATAAACCCATATAAAACCTTGCTGGCGCTGCAATAACTTTAACAAGACCACATCAGAGTGAGCTAAGCCTTGGAAAATACATACTGAGAGAGACCATCTGAGCTTTCAGCTTTTCATTTCATGGCCTTGAATCACTCCGTCAGAACTATCTCCACCCACTGACTCCCGTGACGGAAACCAACACACACATTTCACAGACTTGCTGAAATCAGCTTTAGGGAGAAGGTGTAGGACGCTAAAATGTCTGCAGAGAAGTCTGAGGCTAGTTCTTACCCTTTTTATTACAGTGAATATTACTCATGATGGGTTTATTTACCTACCAAAAAAAAAAAAGACTGGATATTTCTATTTCTGTTTCTGTTCTAAAAACATAGTGACCCTTTTGGGAGAACATGCCACGAAAAAGGCACATATTCGCAACATATCCATTAAACAACATATAGTTTGTAGGCTTTTCAGCAAAATTGAAACATGAAAAAACTGTAAAATTGTAATAAATAAACAATTAGCAGACAAAAATTATAGTAGCTATATAGTGGTAATTTGATTGAATTTATCTAGTGTGGTGATATAGGCCTAGTGTTCATTTGTTTACCTTCTGGAGTAGACTGTTTATTATAATTGTTGTCATTTTAGAGATTATCATTATTTCTATGAGATGCTTGGAACCAACATAAATCAACGTAAGTGGACTTTTAAATCAAAACCATATAGCTACTAAAACTCGTGTGACTACTAGCCCCGGTCTTCTGTATGTAGATATTCGTGCTCTTGATGATTGAATTTGTGCGAAAGATAGCGCCCTCTCACGGCTGGTACAGGAACTGCAGGAGCGCTGCCGTTAATAGAGCCAGATGAAAAATGATAGACGACAAGACTGCAGGGTTGATCTTCCTGTAGGCTATGTGTGTGTGTGTGTGTGTGTGTGTGCGCGTGTGTGTAAAGCCCTTCAGGTTTAAATGAAAGTCGATATCTTGAGAGCTTGTTGGTACATTGTGTTGCCCATTCAGTGGTTTCAAGACAGACAATTATTTACTGGTGTCATTTTTACAATATTTATTCAGAAGTCAAGACACAGTGGGATTGTATACAATTATATGAACACATACCCAGATTTCACAGTATTGCATTATGTTGAAGTGTGTGGAAGTACTCAGGCACATCCATTTACGACATCAGCATTGAGTGACTGGCAATGTGATTGTTTCTATTATTTGAAATTATTTTTTTTTTAAATGTTGGTGACCAATATTGCTGTACATCTCTCTTTTAGAACACTGACTGAGAAGCAGCACATGTTTTGAATCTCAACATCATATACAGACATTGCTAATATGTAAAAAATGTAAAGATACAGAAACTATTAATTATGAACTTGATACATACACAGCTAAAAACAGTTCTGAACATGTTTCGACCCAGTGGCCATCAGCGTACAGGAGAAATATGAGTATGTGCTGTACAAAAACAGGTAATTTTCGGGTGAGACTCTCTCCAGGTGTGTTTTATGAATGCATACAAGTTTTTTTTTTTTCACCTGCACACTACACAATAGAGCTTTGAAAGATTAGTAGGTATATTCTTCCACATATTTTCATATCATATTCCCAAATCATCTCTCTCGCACACTCTTCATCTCTTTTCTGTGCAAAATATGCAAAAACTCAATTACGTATAAAATTAATAAGTGCTTTTAACTTAAACATATTCACAATGAAAGTGTGCCGATTCATTAGCTGCTCCAACTAGAAGAATAGGAGAAAGCAGTAAATGGTAAAACTATTTGTGCAACAAACTGGTGTGTGTATGATTATGATAATAAATTAAAATAACATGATAACAAATACCAGTTTGCAACATCAAGCAGCATAAAGGATTATTTTTGTACAGCTAAAATGAAAGCACGGGAAGCATCACACATTCACGAATGGAGGCACCCACTCCTATGTTAAAAAATAAGCTGGATATGCATCTCAAAATATAGAATGAAACACAGTGGTGAAATCAGCGTTGACTTGGATCGTCATGATCAACCATAAAACTTTTTTTTAGGTAATACTGGTCCAAATTGTAAAAACACGAATCTTATGAAAGAGAATCTGATATTCTTTCAGAAATATATTGAATTAAGCTGATTAAGATCTGAATAAACAACATACAAACTGACCGTCATGCTGCAACAGGGTCACGTTTACTCATGCTGGTGTGGTTTTGGTTTTACAAGCACACCAACTATTTACAAAGGCGAGACTTTCACCAGCACTTGGCCAGCGGAGCAAGAGGCGATTTCATTCGTCTGCTGGGGCTGAAGATATCCCTCGTTTCCGCCTCTAACCTCACACCCGGCACCTTAAAGATGGACACAGCTGACGGAGAAAGAGAGAAGGTTAGAGAATGAGAAACGAGACAGGAGGAAAAAGACATTCTTTTTAGATTGCATAATCTCTTTTCATCTTGAGTCGGCGTTGAAAAGGTTGCCAGTTTTGACAGTGACTAAGAGGGGTTTAACTTTGATCTTGTCTGTAACGGGACCGGATTAACCTTTGAAGCTGGAATTGCGTGCATTCCGCTAATATAGTGAAATTCTCCAGCACTTACTGTCCCTTAGATGCATTAACGGAGGTGGAAGAGTGTTGAAATATGGGTGTAGCAATGCATCCTGGGCTGAAATCCTGTCCTTTGGATTCATCATCAGCATCTGCTGGGCCAGATCCTCCGTCTTATAGGGTAACTGAGCGAGTCTAAGCCAATGTACACACACATATACAGAGAGCTATGGGTCAGACATCCATTAGAGGAGGGGGTGGAGGAAGGGTGATGAAGACCGCTATACAAAAACCCTTCTGTTCCCACTCGGAGCCAAAACGCACACACATATGCACACGAGCATGCACGCATGAACTGGTCTTACCTTTTCCAGACATCTCGAAATTGCTGGGCCTTGCAGGGCAGGAACCACTCTACAGGAACACAAAGAGACCTCTTTTAGTTAATAGACCACCAGAACATCCAGCTCTGAAAGTGAAAGCCTTTATCATTTACGATCATTTGTTTTGTTCCAAACTTGTATCTTCTGTGGAGCACAAAAAGAGATATTTGGCAGAATGTTCACGCTGCTCTCTTACATTTTAAGGACTGTAAAGGTCACTTTTAAAGTGTTTTTGTCATTTTTTTGGAGATGACAGCCCATGGTCAATGTATGCTTTTGATAAATGGAAAACAGCAGCATGAACATTCTGATGAATTGCTTCTTTTGTACAGTGTTGTTATTATTAACTAAACCGTAAAAATAGTCAAATTTAGTTAATTGAAATAAAATATAATAAAATAATAAAATGTTGGCAACTGACTGAAATAAAATAAGTTGAAGTACTAAAATTACTAAAACTAAAATAAAAAAATTAAAGCTACACACACACGTGCGTGTATATATACGTATATAGGAAAGTAACTGACAAGGTTACTAAAACTAAAATAAAAAAATTACAGCTACACACATATAATTATATATATATATATATATATGTATATATATAAAACTAATACAATGACAACATTTAAATGAAAAAATTAAAATATAACAAATAAAAGCTAAAAATGTTAATAAATACTAGTATAGTAATAATATCACTATATATATCGTGGTGATGATATATGTGACCCTGGACCACAAAACCATTTTTTTAAATTGAGATTTAATAAATATGCTTTCCATTGATGTATGGTTTGTTAGGACAGGACAATATTTGGCTGAGATACAACTATTTGAAAATCTGGAATCTGAGGGGGAAAAAAAAAATATTGAGAAAATCACCTTTAAAGTTGTCCAAATGAAGTTCTTAGCAATGCATACTAACCAAAATTAAGCTTTGTTAATTATCCAATATTAAGCAATATCCTAATGATTTTTGGCATAAAAGAAAAATCTATAATTTTGACCCATACAATGTATTGTTGGCTATTGCGACAAATATACCCCAGCGACTTAAAGGGTTAGTTCACCCAAAAATGAAAATTAGCCCATAAATTACTCACCCTCAAGTCATCCTATGTGTATATGACTTTCTTCTTTCAGACGAATCCAGTCGGAGTTATATAAAAAATTGTCTTTGATCTTTCAAGCATCAGTCCAAAAGCACTTAATTAAAATGCGCCCATCCATAAAAAAAGTGTCTCACACAGCTCCGGGGGGTGAACAAAGGCCTTCTGTAGTGAATAGATGCATTTTTGTAAGAAAAATATCCATATTATAAACGTAATAATCACTTTAATGTAGCTTGCGCTCACAGTTGTTTACTGGAAGCAGCTCCGGGCGGATGTCTAGGATGACTTGACGGCGAGTAATTTATGGGCTAATTTTAATTTGTGGGTGAACTAACCCTTTAAGACGGGTTTTGTGCTCTAGGGTCACACATGATATAAAGTGTTTCTTATATTGTCTTTGTCCTATTGTTTATAATTTGCATCTTTGTTCTTATTTTTTATAAATTTAGTATAAAAAACAAAAACAACAATATTGTGGTATATATCATAAAATTACTAATGTTGTAAAATGTCATATTACCCACCCCTATATAATTGTATACTGTATAAATAATACTATAATAACTGCTTTTTTGTTTGAGACAGTGAGATATAATTTCCATTTTTGGGTAAACTACAAATTTTTGTAACATCCAAAGAAAAATTCTAACCACTATAAAGAACCCTATAATAGTAAAAATGCTATAAAGATGGTTTGAAGAAGCTTTATTATGAGTGTCCTTCTGTCAGTGTCTGTGGTCACGGGCCACCCGGTCATTCTTGGCTGAGACCTGAGGCCACACTTACGCTTCAGCACACCTGGATATACCTGAGAGACCACAGCGGGTTCAGGTAGCTTCTCTCCAACACACAGTACACACACATACAGAGCAGCCTGGGGCTTGGGTAAACCCAGATTCATGGAGAAACACAGCAGGCAAGGCCTGCCAGCAGTTTACCTACCACACACACACCATCTCCATCAGTGCCCACACACTCTAAACGAGGCATATTTCCCAAAGCCACCTCACATTGCTCATTTGTGCACCTGTGTAATGAGTCTGCACTTTATTTCCAGGACTGCAATGGAAAGACATCAACCCACTTCCTGCATGAGTGTGTGAAGGTATGTGTTTGTGTCTGACTCAAAGGTGTCAAGTCAACTCATGGCCAACACAACCACTAACAGAACACATATACACACAAAATAATTTATACTGGAAACACAGCTTCAGCACAACTCTGTGAATTTGCTCTAGCCATTTTCTGTTTGTATGACTGCATGTTATTAAAACGACAGGCCCTTGGCAACAAGTTTACACCCACACATTGCCAAGCACACACGCAGTGCATACAGATGACAGTGTCTATGTGTCGTTCTAATTCTAAATTTATGGGTACATGCGTATTTACTGGATGTTTAAAAATAACATCATGTGAAAAAATCAGCATGTGCAGGAAAAGTTCACTAACAAAATTACAATTCTGTCATTATTTACTTATGACTATAAAAATTTACATGGAAGAAACATGATATTTTGGAGCATAATACGCCTTATCTTTTACAACACAAACGTAAGCAATTTTCATGGGAATGTGCAAGACTTATGATTTATTAGCTCCTATAGGTAAATAACTTGACAAATAACAAAGTGCAGTATATTGTTTATACAATAATAAATTAAATTATATGATAACAAATAACAGTTTGCAACATCAAACAGCATAAAGAACGGTTTTTGTACAGCTAAAATAATTGGATTTACCTGACACTGTAAGTCTTTCACATTCAATTAATTAATGGAGGTCTTTTTAACGGTTGTTATAAAAAAAATAAAATAACATAGGTGAATAGCATATTATTGCATTGTATATGTTATAGCTGATAACATATAAATGGCCAATATCAAAAGTCTATACATTCTGTCCAAATATATTATAATTAAAACACCAAAAAAAAAACCCCATCATTTTAAATGATACAAGTGAATTTTAAGGATTAACTTTATGTGAGCGTTAGTGGCAAATGCAATCTAAAAAAATTTAAATTAAATAAAAAAAAATAAAAAATGAATTGCGCCTGGAAATGGCCATGCACAAGTCAATTCAATATCTATAAATAAAACATATCTACCAATACCAAGATATAGTTTTTATTCCTCAAAACTCTGGTTCTTGTATTGTATATGTTATAGTTGATAACATATAAATGGCTGATATTACAAATCTATACATCCTGTCCAAATATATTATAATTAAAACACCCCCCCCACAAATAAAAAAACTAAAACCCATCATTTTAAATTATACAAGTGCATTTTAAAGATTAACTTTATGTGAGCGTTAGTGGCAAATAAAAAAATCGAAATAAAAAAATGAAGAAATGGGCATGCACAAGTAAATTGTCTGTTATAGATCCAATATCTATTAATAAAACATATCTACTAATATGGTACCAAGATATCGTTTTTATTCCTCAAAACTATGGTTCTCAAACGGGGTCTTAGCAAACTTCAAGGAGGCCCAAGATTATTTTAAAATAATTTAAAATAAGATAAAACAAGCATTAAAATATGCTAAACCAGATAAAATCAAGATATTCTTTACCTTAATTCCCAATTACTTTTTTCCCTCTTTTAACCAGGGTCTTAGAAAACCTGAATACATTAGGTAGCCTTATTTTAAAAGTGTAATGTCTAGACCTTCAAATAAAAAAATGGAATAAAATCTTATAACTCCATTGGCATTTTTATAATTAATTAGCATTTTTCTAGTTTCAAGATCTAACCTTTTCTATCAAATAGAAATTGGGTAAAAACATTTTTAAAAATCCTTATCCAGTAAATCATGAACAACTGGAAAAGTCATGGGGCCTTTGAATGTTGTTGTTGTCATTGAGAAGTATTGGGGTCCAAATATTTGAGAACCACTGCTCTAAAAGGAACCATAAAAGCTGCCTGTATGATTTGCAGCTATATTTAAAATCTTTAGAGACCATATGAGATGAGGCATGCAAGAATTAATGGCTTTGATGAATTGCACGATGCATCTGCATTTGGCAAGTCTAAATACGTGCATGTGTGAATGAGATTTGAGAGCTATGATTTATCAATGAATAACATCATAATTCAAAACATATTTTGTAGAGTAAATGATGACAGAATTCCATTTTTAGGGGAACTAACCCTTTAAGACCATATTTCTTCTTGATCTAACCCCCTAAAATTACTTTAATTGCTATAACATAATTTTGTCAAGTTTATTCAATTTAAATTAAATTATTCCTTTGACTTAAACAAAACTAGTTAATTTAGATGTTCACACATTAAGTACATTTTTATGTAACTAACACAGACGCATGCGTTTAATGACTGAGACAAATCTGTGCTGAGGCAGGAAATCACCTTTCATAGCGGACACATCTGTGAGATTACAGTACAGAGACAGATGAAAGAAGGATTTTGAACATACCTGGTTTATAGTTTGGCAGATCACTGACACCTGGCCAGCTCTCCTCGGTCGGGACCCCGAGGACCTCAGAAGGAAAGAAGAGGAGCGATAAATAAAGAGTAGAGGAGGATAGAAGAGAAATCTCACACAATTCTAGTACATTCTCACAAACAGACTCACAGCCCAAATCTTCAGCAGCTGCTCAAATACATCAGCTACTCCAGGAAACGCTGGTGACCCCTGTAGCATCTCGATAAAAATGCAACCAGCTCCCCTAAACATCAACATATATACATATCTGTCAGACATATATACATATCTGTTTCATTTCAGTTGCAACATACCATTTTAATATGCAATAGATTCTCAAAATTAAACACAAAGAACATCAATTTTGTTTCTTAAGTGGTAAAATATATAAATCCAAAAGTTCTGTAGACAAATATGTAAATGTTTATCATGTGCCAGTAAATTACAATACAGGATGAACACTAAGGATTTTTCTACTCATTCAGATTTTCCAAATTTGGTTTAAAATTTTCACACAAAAAAAACTGCTATTGTCTATTATTGTTTTCATTTTGTTTGACCCATGTAACCTAGTTTTATAATAAATAATGTTAGATAAAGATGAGTAAACAGTCTTCAACAAATTACTAGCAATAGCACTAATAAGTAAAATAAACAAAAATTTAAGAAATATCTAAAAGTATATATAAATTTATATATGATTAATATTATACATAAACATAAATATATATTAAATATACATCTTTAATATATACATGTATGTGTGTGTATTTATATATACATATACATTTTTCTTTTGTTCTTTAACTAACATTAATTACACAGACAGCAGTAGGTATATTAAGTGGCTGTCACTTTAAGACCAAATGCACGGACATGCACACATCAGATTGTAAACTATTTTTAACTATTTACAAACTATTTTTGAACTATATACAATATGCGAATTGACTTATCTTTTTCATTATCTTGCGCTTGAAAAGTTTAAAATCACTTGAATGCTTAAACTGACAAGACTGGCAAACTGGCAAAAGTTCAGCATTAAGCTGAAGGCGGAAATTTTCAAAGAATTGCATCTGTTGCTCTCACTATTATGAATCTTTCTAAGAAGAATTAATATGTTTGCGTGTGTGTGTAGGATTTGTTAATGCACAACTCCACTATTCATATTTTAATGACATACATCTATATGTGATGGACACTTCTTGAATATATACTTCATATAAATAAGCACTTTGATTCTTGGCTGTGTGTGTGTGTGTGTGTTGTGCTGTTGCAGTACCTTCTCTAATAGCTGTGAATGGAATTCCTTCCTCAGTTTTCATGTGAATCACCTTTAAAGCCACAAGATGACCGTTTATCCTGTCACAAAGACAGAAAAACCTCAGCATAATCCACAAACATGCATCTGAAAACAGTTAAGCTGACCTCTGTTTTCTGGAGAATAAACACCATCACAAGCTCTCCCCTTTAAAGACATTATGCAATCAAATTTGGAGTTTTGACTATTGACTATAAGGTTATTTATATGCTAGTTTATTCCTGACAAATTTAACATGTAGAAAATACACTTTTAAAATGTAAAGTCTTTCTCTTCTATTTTTTTTTTAAATTGTGAAGACAATGTCCCCTTGATCAAATAACACCTGCCTAGGACTAGCAATAGCACATAGCAAATCATAATTCATGTCTGTAAATTAAAGCCTATTGGCTATTTAAAACTAAGGGGCAAGCACTTTGATGTGTCCCACCCTACTTCCTGTTTTAATAGGAAATAATGCAACACAAAAAAAGAAATCTGCAATTTTATGGGTCTTGGAAAGTCTATCATCTTGTTTATCATTTGAATCATCTGGTGGTGTTTAGTAGTGGTTACATTTATGATGCCATTTATGGAAAGTAAATCCACTCGCTGTGGATATTCAAAAATTGTGTATTCCAAAATAATTTAAAGGGATAGTTCACCCAAAAATTTGATGTTTATCTGCTTACCCCCAGGGCATCCAAGATGTAGGTGACTTTGTTTCTTCAGTAGAACACAAACGAAGATTTTTAACTCAAACCGTTGCAGTCTGTCAGTCATATAATGGAAGTGGATGGGAATCACGGCTTTGAGAGTCAAAAAAACATACACAAACAAAACCAAATTAAACCCTGTGGCTCGTGACGATACATTGATGTGCAATGAAACGATTGGTCTGTGAAAGAAACTGAACAGTATTTATATAATTGTTTACCTCTGATTCACCGCAATGTCCAAACTGTCCTGAGCGCGTTCTCAACAGCCTGCGCGTGACGCGTCTTCTTCTTATTTGTGTATGTTTTTTTTTACTCTCAAAGCCGTGATTCATATTCACTTCCATTATATGACTGACAGACTGCAACGGTTTATTATAGACCTTTTTTGGTGTAACCGCCATACATTTTTAACTGAAAGCAATTAGCTTAAAAAAAACTCAAAAAAGAGCAATTCCAAAGTAAAAAAAAACTGCAAGCCAAACATGGTGCTTCCACTTACAAAGTGAGACAGCTGAGAAAATATAGCACAAAAGTATTTAACCCTGTAAAGCCTAAAAAAAACAAAACAAATAAAAATAGTCAGAAAAATAAATTTTTAAAGGAACATTTTATTGTACATTCAGACATATACAGTGGGTACGGAAAGTATTCAGACCCCCTTAAATTTTTCACTCTTTGTTATATTGCAGCCATTTGCTAAAATCATTTAAGTAAATTTTTTTCCCTCATTAATTTACACACAGCACCCCATATTGACAGAAAAACACAGAATTGTTGACATTTTTGCAGATTTATTAAAAAAGAAAAACTGAAATATCACATGGTCCTAAGTATTCAGACCCTTTGCTCAGTATTTAGTACAAATGGCTGCAATATAACAAAGAGTGAAAAATTTAAGGGGGTCTGAATACTTTCCGTACCCACTGTATATAGTTTGAATATATTTGATAGATCAGGTTTTTATGGCTCATATTACAGTATGATATCTTTAGAATAAGGCGCTCATACTTCCAAATTGAGCCAAAATATGCTATTTTGTGCAGATGCTATGGCCAAAAAGTAAGATGAAATTCTGATAGCTTGTTATTGTAAATCAATAAGATCTTTATAATAGTATGACAAACTACAAAAAATGCATATAAATATCAGTTGTCACTTTATATCTCCCAATAATATGTCTTGGTAAGATGATATTTAAATCCTCAATTTTATGATCAAAGCTCTGTAGCTTTTATTGTGGGGGGCAATACAGTGATGATTGAGAAATATACGAGTAAACATCCCTCGAAGTATGTTGTATCATATTTAATACATACATTTTAACAAGTAAACCCAAGTTGCTTCAGTCTAATAAATGTTCATCTTAAAAACGCAAATACCCGACCTGAAGATGGACATTTTTTAAATTATACTAAAAGGTCTTTTATTTGCTAAAAAAAAGTATAAACTATCAATAAGGCTTATAGGGTTAACATTACTTTACGCAAAAAAACAATGTGACAAATTTACAGTTTATAGTAAGTCATGTATTACAAATTGTTACTGTTAAAAGTAACATTCCTCAAGACTGTGCATTGTTTGTTTATCTATGTGTATCTATGATTGAACCTCTTGTTGTGTGTCTGAGTTGTATCTGTGTGTTCCTCACCCACTGGAACTCTTGCTGGAAGCTCTTTCCTCCCATAGGATCGCTGTTACTGCGGCCCCTCTGAACTCTGAGCCGTCGCACCTGCAGCGTGTGAAACCAGTGCGGCTGTGGTTTCTCCACCCCGTCCAGCTCACCCAGCTGAAAGCAGAGACAAAGACAGAGAAACACACCGGGATGGTTTGATCTATATCAGATACAGTGTGCGATGTTATTACACCTTGTTTCACTGATACAGCCATCCTACTGTATCCATCACACCTGTCTGTGTGCGTACAAGTGTGAACCGCGTCCTCATTTTCATGCATATGTGGCTTCAGGGTTTTACACCAGCGCTGAAGCTCTGAATTCTAAAGTGCTTTATACACACACACACACACTCACTACTGTTTAAAGAAATTAAATGCATTGACATGCAGTAAAACTGATCAAAAGTAAGTAAAACATTTATAACGTTACATAAGATTTCTCTTTAAAATAAATGCTGTTATTTGAATTTATTCGTCAGTAAATCCTGAAAAAATTTATCAGTTTCCACAAAAAATTTAAGCAGCAGAAATGTTTTTTTCAATTGAATAACAATAAGAAATGTTTCTTGATCACCAACTCAGCATATTATAATAATTTCTCAAGGATCATGTGACACTGAAGACTGGAGTTATTTGGCTGCTGAAAATTCACCTTGGTAATCACTGGAATAAATGAAAATATACAGAAATAATATATATATATTTTTTTTAATTGTAATAATATTACACAATATTACTGTTATTACAAATAAATGCAGCTTTGCTGAGCATGAGAGACTTTTTCTTGCTTGCTTTTTCTTTTTTTGCATCTTTTTTGTGGTACACATAGTCTTTCAAACTCATAACATTCAATTTTGTGTGGTGCTGTAGCTTCTATAAAAGCAAATTATGTGTTAACATTAAAAGAAAGAAAGAAAGATAGGGCCTACAGTTACTGATTCTACAATCAAACGATAAATGAATGTAAGAGCACCTTCAAACTGTGTAAAAACCTTTCAAAATGTTGAATTTAATTAAGTGAAATGGTATTTTGGCAGGAACTATAGTTATATTTTTGTAAGGATAACAACAGCACACGAAGTTGTACAGCAGATGATGTCAGAATGTCCTGACACAGAAGTCCTTTTAGCTCTAATGTTCCCTATTTCTGTCTCCTTGCCTAAATTCTGTTCATTTGAGTGTTTTCATCGCACACAGGGACAGCTGACACTCTCAGAATGGACTCTGGAGTTCTACAGAATGTACTGTAACCAGACAATCATATCTTCAGATCAGCTGGAACTAAAACGGTTTCCCTTCCATCAAATACATTACATTCGACTCTCAGTATTTTCTTGGAAGCGACACAAGAACACTAAAATAGTTAGAAATGCTAAGAAAGTTTAACCCTTTAACACTACATGATACAGTATTCAAAACCAGACCTATTTCTCAATGACATTACAAAGTTAGAGGCATTTTTATGAGACATTCTTCTGTAACGCTAGAAATGTCATTGTTATTGTAAGACATCATCATATAGCGCTGTTTGATGTCAAACACACTCTCACACACACACACACACACACACACACACACACAAGCACACCCATCTGACCTCAGCGACTGGGAGGGAGGACACACTCCAAGTTTTTGATGGTTTTTCTTCCGTTTTCATTGCTTCTTTTATCTCTTCCACTCTCATTTCAAACATTTCTTCTTTTTCTTCCCTTCTGACTTCATTTCTTTTATCTCCACAACACCAACAACATCTCCTCAAGCTCAAAGACGCACAGACCCGCATTCTCCACAGGAAATCCTCCATCTCCAAATCTTCTCCTCTCTCACTCACTCTCACTTTCTCTGATTAAGCCGTATAACTCATATGACTTGCATGGGAAAGTGTGTGTGTGTGTGTGTGTGTGTGTCTGCAGGCCTGGTCTTATGACTCCATCTCCCATCCATGAGAGCTAAACACAAACAGCCGTGTTATATTTGCTAAGGGGAACAAATGCATCCATTCAACTGCAGGAGAGAAAAGCATGATGGGACGGACAGTGAGAAATGGTGATTGTGAGAGAGAAATAAGAGAACAAGAGAGAATAAAAGAATGTAAATGAGAGAGAATTCATAATACTGTGGCATACTATTATGGCAGTTTTCAGACTTAATAAAGACGTTTCTCATCAGACTGAGGTGAATTGGTGAATTACTCTGTTCACACAATATGGCTCATCTCTGTGAGCCATATTGGCTAAAATCTGTAGATAAAATCTTATTTTGCACCCACTCACTCTCACTTTCTCTGTTTCTGCCGTATAACTCATATGACTTGCATGGGAAAGTGTGTGTGTGTGTGTGTGTGTGTGTGTGTGTGTCTGCAGGCCTGGTCTTATGACTCCATCTCCCATCCATGAGAGCTAAACACAAACAGCCATGTTATATTTGCTAAGGGGAACAAATGCATCCATTCAACTGCAGGAGAGAAAAGCATGATGGGACGGACAGTGAGAAATGGTGATTGTGAGAGAGAAATAAGAGAACAAGAGAGAATAAAAGAATGTAAATGAGAGAGAATTCATAATACTGTGGCATACTATTATGGCAGTTTTCAGACTTAATAAAGACGTTTCTCATCAGACTGAGGTGAATTGGTGAATTACTCTGTTCACACAATATGGCTCATCTCTGTGAGCCATATTGGCTAAAATCTGTAGATAAAATCTTATTTTGCACCCATATTCTTATTAAGTTATATTACATGAACTACCATTCAAATGTTTTGGATCAGGAAGTAAGAGAACATAAGTTTTATGTTCAACAAGGCTGCATTTGTTTGATCAAAAATATACAGTAACTTATAGTATATAAGTTAGCATAGTATATAAATATAACAGCATGTCTTATATATACTGTATATGATAGATAGATGTGTGTCTGCATGTCTGTTTTCACGCGGTCTGGTGAGTCTGGTCATGACTTGTAGGCTACTAGGATTGCTGGAGTGTAACTGTGGAGAGAGAAAGAGCTTGATGGATGTTTTCTCTATTCTTTATTGTCTCTGGCTATCTGGACTCTGTGTCCAGATGGGACATGCTTGATTGAGCCTGGAATAAGACACCAATTACTGACAGGGGGACCGAATGTTGTGCGCTGCTGTGCTGCCTCTCTCTATGAAAATACTAGCTTACTATTTACTGAATTCTGTGCTCTATTTACTGTATACTGCAAAATTATATGAAAAACAACATATTGTTGTCACGTTCATCAAAATGAAAATGGTTATTGTGCACCAGTTTGGTTATAGATCTATTGGCTCTGTTTATACTGCATATTTTAGCAAAGATAGTGGGTTACCTGTGTATTCTGTGCCTAAAGAAAATATTCAATTTGTGTGCATACTATACATTGTGGAACAAGTAAGAACAGTATGCCATTCCAAACACAGCTTCTCTTTCTTTCCCCCCAGTAGAGGACAGTGCTGCATACTTTTTCCTCAAATGGTTCTGTTGCCTTTCCTAGCTCTCTCTCTCTCTTTTTCACCCCCATTAGGGGGTAGTGCTGTATTTCTCTCTTCCGCCTCCAGCTGTCATCTGTCCTGTCTCTGTGGGTGAAGGGATGTTTGTTTGTGCTTATAATATGTTGTGCAATGTCATGTCAAATGTTCTTACCTCCTCATAGCCCAGATGTCTTTGTTTTAACCCTGTAAAACATAAAATAGCAGTTTAGATGGACCACAGCACTTTAAATGGCCAGATACACAGGGTTTGCTGCAGTACACTTCATGTGTGAGAAATGGTTTGACTGTTTGTAATGGTTTCATAAAGATATTTAAACAACTTTACAAAGGAAAGGGCCTGACACACTGAAAAAAAAACTCTCTCTCTCTCTCATACATGTAAGTGTATTAAAAAGAATGATATATTATAATCTTATGATATAATTATAAATTACATACGATTTGTACTTCATTTATGAATTTAAATAATATTTTATAACATTTTATATAACACCTATATATATATTAAATATGTAAAATATGATTACATATAATCTAAATTAGATATAAATTAAATAAAACATATAAGTATAACATAAATAAATACATAAATGAACCAAATTTAATGTATAACAAAAACATAACCTAAATACAAATTAAATACAAATTATAATAATATTACATATTTAATCATATTGACTACATTTACGTGCATTACTCTCATTTAATACAACGGATTAATAAAAACACTTTAAATGGCCAGATACACAGGGTTTGCTGCAGTACACTTCATGTGTGAGAAATGGTTTGACTGTTTGTAATGGTTTCATAAAGATATTTAAACAACTTTACAAAGGAAAGGGCCTGACACACTGAAAAAAAACTCTCTCTCTCTCTCATACATGTAAGTGTATTAAAAAGAATGATATATTATAATCTTATGATATAATTATAAATTACATACGATTTGTACTTCATTTATGAATTTAAATAATATTTTATAACATTTTATATAACACCTATATATATATTAAATATGTAAAATATGATTACATATAATCTAAATTAGATATAAATTAAATAAAACATATAAGTATAACATAAATAAATACATAAATGAACCAAATTTAATGTATAACAAAAACATAACCTAAATACAAATTAAATACAAATTATAATAATATTACATATTTAATCATATTGACTACATTTACGTGCATTACTCTCATTTAATACAACGGATTAATAAAATATAGTATTCACTGCAATACGCTTCATGTGTGATAAATGGCTTTTGGTGTGTTTGTAATGGTTTTATAATGATATTTATAAGAACTTTTTTTATAGGAAAAGCACTTGGATACAGTGAAAAATGAAAGCAATCCTACTACTATTATGTCAGATGAGAGAAAGAGTGTGTGTGTGTGTGTGTGTGCTTATCAAGTCATATATCATACAAAGTCACTAGTATAATTATAGATGTAATTACAGATATTAATAACAGATGTAATTACATGTAGGATTTTTCAAAAAAAGTATAAATAAGTAAAAACGCAAAGTAGTTAGTTAAAGACTATACCAAATATTTAAATGAAGTACAATATAAATATAATATACAATAATCATGATAGTAATTATATTGAATAAACACTTTCTATTTAATAAATGAAAAAGCTTTACAGACCAAGATTGAAGAACACATAATACTCCAGAATTCTCAGTATGTAACTGTGTGTGTGTGTGTGGTTTGATTCAGCAGGTACAAGGTGAGTCACGCTCAGTGTTTAAGCTCCTGGCGGGAGAGGCGAACAGGAGCAGGTGGCTGTGTACAGGGGGTCTGAGATTTACCCTTCACCTTCATTTAAATTTTAGCAGCAAATACAACACTAAACAGGATCAGAGAGAGAGGAACGGACAAAGAGAGGAAGAGAAAGACCCCACAATCACAGCTCTGTAAAACAGTGCTCAGCTATTAAAACGTCAATTTCGGTGATGTATATTTGAAAAGTGTCTCTAAGAGGCGGAGTGCATCTGCTATGTAATGCGTGATTAGATATATTCTGACAGTCAGTCACAATGAAATGAACTCTGTTTAGGCAAAAGATCGAGGGAATATAAAAAATAAGCCCATCTTCGTGAGTTAAGGCTCAGTGAGACTCCAGGAAGACAGTTCTGCCCTAAAACTGTCCAGTAACTTTTACCATGTCAAATATTATACAGAACTTCTCTGTTAAGAAGAAAGTGTTTTAAAAGAACTGTTCTTTAACACTAGAATGATAAATCCCACTGCAGAGATGGCTGCAGTTTTCTGAAAGACTAATACCAAAGTAGTTATTATGATTGTGATATACAATGGATTTCATTAAAGGCTATAGTTGATTGCATTAATGTTGATATAACTATATCCCATTAGGTGATTGAATTACAAAGCCCTGTAAGTTGACCCAGAAGACTGTATGTCTCTGTTGGATCGTTCCAGATCTAATTTACTAAAATCTCTTTTTGGCACTGCTGAAGGTGTCACTCTGAGGAGCTCTGCTGCCATCTGATTAGTGTCGTCCTTGACAGGGAAGAAAGGTCATCATCCAGGTGACCAGTCACCATTAACCAAAACCTGCTATATGATTCTAGGAGGTTATATGGAGTCCGTTTCACATCAAGCATCTAATCAAAAATGTATTTATTAGAAATACATGCCAAGGGACGCAATATTTCTAATACTTAAAGGAATAGTTCACCCAAAACAGAAATCTGATGAAAATGTACTCAACCGACAAGCCATCCAAAATGTAGTTTGTTTGTTCATCAGAAAAGAGAAATGTAGCATTACATCACTTGCTCGCCAATGGATCGCTGCAGTGAATGGGTGCCGTCAGAATGAGAGTCCAAACAGCTGATAAAACATTATGGTATATATGGTATATTATTAACGGTTTGAAGTTAAATGTGTGAATAATGGATTCATTACAAATTCATGTTGATTACTTGTGGAGTATTGTGATGTATTAATCAGCTGTTTGGACTCTCATTCTGACGGCACCCATTCACTGCAGAGGATCCACTGGTGAGTATGTGATGTATTGGTAAGTTACTAGAAACCTGTTCTGATGAAGAAAAAACTCATCTACACCTTGGACGGCCTGATGGTGAGTACATTTTCAGGCAATTAAAATTTTTGGTTGAAATGTATATGCATTTCTTATGCACAAATGCTATTGAAAAGTATGCCTCATATTATAAAATGTCAATAACACAGGTTACACGGTGAAGAGTATATTTTTGTTTGTCCTTGTGTGTCGACCAGTGATCGCTGCTGTCTCTGTGTGTTTCTGCTTCCCCCCCGAGCATTTTTTCCCTTCTCTCTGTCTGTCTGCACAGATATTTATGAGTCAGGATAAGGGAGGGCTAAGAGAGCTCATAACTCATGCTCAGATGCATCACGGCTTCCCGCTCTCTGTTTTCATCCTCTCATCCATCTCTACACTCCACTCTTTCTGTCTCTGCACGGGTATCTTTCCTTATTCCATCAAGATCGTTCCCTCCTTCATCACCACTTGACATTCTTTCTTACGGTTCTGCATTCTGTTGCCAACTCTCCATGTTTTCCCTCCTTCTCTCTCTCTCTCGTTGCTGATCAGTATTCTGTGAGCAGTGTGTACAGCAGTAAGTGCTGTTTAGTATGTTGCCAGCCACCCATCACTCAAAAACAGACAAGTGCAGTGACTGGTTGGATGAAGGCCAAGAAACTCAGATCAATCAGCTCAGGTAAACGAGTCAAGTTAAAGACCACAATAAATGTCTGTCAGCTTTGAGACCATCCATAAGCTAGGGTATTTAGAAATGTGGATTTAAAAACATAGGCTTTCTCTGCTGGGAAAACAGACCAAAAATGGAACATACAAATAATTTCAGTCCAAAAATGATCTCTATGTAGAAATTGAGAATTACCATCCTGCCTCTGATTAGCCAAAGCAAATAATACATTTAAAATATTAAATATTAAAAAAGTGACAAACCTTTTGATATAACCCACCCCAACTTCTTGTTTCAACAGGAAATATGTCAACACAGGACTATCAAGCCATTTCATGGGGTCTTAAAACCAGACCATGATTATGAGTTCAGATTTAAAAAAGAAAAGAAGATTAAAAAAACACACCAAGAGAAGAAAGTGGCCCACAGAATTAAGGAAATAATCACAAGGAAACTGATTTCACACTAAGACATGCAAATAAACTTGCAGAAAAGTGTTTTTAAAGATTAACTTAGAATTAGATGATGCCAAAAATAATCTAAATGTGAAAAATGTAATAAATTAGCATGAACAATTAAATATACAATATAATCAGATAACTATATATATATATATATATATATATATATACACACTGTATATTACAGCAACCAAATTTTTTATTTTTTTTTTGCATTCAGTTCTAAGAAAAATGCAGCCTTGTTGACTGCTTACAAGACAGTAATGGGCTACTTTCATTGATGGTGAGGAAATGTGCTTAAACACATGTCCAGAAATAGCCAGTGACAGAAGTACCACTAGTGCGATATACTTAAAGTCAATGACTTTCACTAGTGCCTTCTTTTTTCACACATAACACACATAGTTTTCTTCGCTCTCAGGCCTCCTGCCTCTCAAGAGATGGACACAGATGCTGTTGCAAGCTGCTTTCCTCTCACCTACAGGAACCTGCCCTTCCCTCCTCCATCACAACAAAATCTCACTTCTGCCATGCAGTAAACCAGGGATAAAATAATTGCTGTGTTTTGCATCCACAGGTCAAGTAGAATCCTCTATGTTCTGCTACAAGGATACATGGGCTATTTGTCTTCCAGTGCACATTAACAATGACGTGCTTAAATGCAATATTTACATTGCATTTTATTTCAGCTTTATTTCAATTACCAAAAATGCTTTTAATAGTTTTAGTTTTAGTTAACTATAATAACTCTTAAAACAGACTTTTGTCAACTGGCCAGCCTGGGAGACCAGATAAACTAGCTTAAACCAGCTCAGACCACCTTAGACTGGTTTAAACTGTTTTTTTCCCCAGGAAGGTATGGTCTCTTTAGAAATTTAAATAGATGTCAGAAGCTGTTTCAAGGACAATCAAACCATCAGATTTGAGAAGGGTAGGTTTATAAGGTTTGTAGGCTAGTACCTTCTCACATAAATTACATTTTTAATTTACTATAAGCAACAGTGTATGTTGCTCAGTTACATAAAGCTGATCCAACAAATACAAATTAGCGCAAATACAAAGAATATTATCTAATTATGCTATTTTAGGCACAAATGAGAATGCAAATGTAGCCATTATATGCAGCTCAGAGTACACACATGAATCAAGTTATTTACAGTTTGAGAGATGCTGGGGATGAAGAAGATTGTTGTTTTATCTCTTTAATTATGCACTATTTCTACTTCCCACGTGATGAGACATCAACACACGTTATTAAGGACAGATTTTGATACTGATTGTATATTCTTAGATACAGCTGAAATGCACTTACCGAGACGCTGGAAAGCCTCAGAAGCTGCATGCCGGAGGTTCTGCATGCTGTCTGCTTCTTCTGATGGATCTTGATGGAACGAGTGTTGTTATGACAGGAGGCTCTCACTGTGACCTGGACATTTTGAATGTGGTACTGGACATCATCGCTGCCCCTTTATCCAGCATGTCATTCTCCAGCTTCAGCACCCACGCTGACACAAGATCCCTTCTCTGTCCTCCTACGATTACTCTGAGCTCTCCTCCTGTCTCTCTGTACCACTCTCTCTCTCTTTCTGTTGCTCTCCTGCCTCCTGCAGGAGCCACTGCCGCTTGTGTGGTCGCAGGCCAATCAGAATTCTTCTGCAAACCACCATCCAATTGGCTGAAAAATAAAGAGAGGCAATGGATTGCAGGCTTGTTTTGAAAGCCTGGTGCATCTAAAACACCCAGAGGATGTAAGTGTGCGTGTCTCAGTATGTGTGAAAACAAATGGTAGCTTGAAATTCCACTCCTCTCTCTCTAAAAAAAGGAATACATTAATGAATAAATCAGGTTTCTGACTGATGGGACATTTTAACCATAGCAAAACAAGGTAACACTTTATTTTAAGGTGTCCTTGTTACACCTTACATGCACTTACCATTATAATAATAATTAATTATGCGTAATTACATGCAAGTAACTTTAAGCCAAACCCTAATCCTAACCCTAATATAGTAAGTACATGTAGTTAATTAATATTACTCAGTATTTAAATAGCCTATGTAATTACACTGTAACAAGGACACCTTAAATTAAAGTGTGACCCAAAACAAATAGACAAATATACTATATAAAGCAAATCTCAACTGCTTTATTGTTTATATCGTCGCAAAGTGTCTATATAGTCGCCTAGTGATATATTTAAAGGTGAATTTGTTTGTTTTTTTAAAGTTGAAATGTATTAGTTGACTTTATTCGCGTATAAAACAAATCTCATAAAAATTATTCGCACTACTGTACATACTTTAATTATAAAATTATGTTATATAGCCTATATAATAAATTAACTGTTAAGATATTTAGAAGAATAATCATGATCGCAGAATAAATCCTGACAGGGTGAAATGCTGATTTGTAATAATTTTACTTGTAATTTAGCTTACTGCGTTCGCTAAGAAAATAGCCTAACGTTACATAGATAGACAACAATTGCTCTATCGACACGACAACGGCAGGATTTAAGTTACTATCATTAATCTGCAATTCAATTTACAGTTTATATGGACTAGTAAGCTAGAACATATTTAGCTTACCAGCTCAACATTTCTGTCAACCAACTCATCTCTACCAGCCCTAGTAGAAAAAGCGAAAGCGTAAATACTCTTTCGTGTTTGTCCCTCCTGATTCTCCGTCCGTTGAAGCGCTCACAACAGCACCACAACAACACATCCGATTATTTATCATCATCATAATCATCATGAGCTTCGCTCTGCTGTATGTCTGCTCTCCTCACTGCCTTATTTTACATTTCTGATTAGGTGTTTCAAAAGCTGACAAGATATATTAGGCCAAGAGTCATCCGCTTTCTGTCTGTCTGAGATCTTTAATCTGACATATCGAGGTAAGAATGAACGAAGCACCATATTTATTAGCTTGAGTGATATTAAAGCAGAGAATAGAGTGAAAATTCGAAATATTTCTGTCTTCTAGAGACTTTACCGTGGTATTTTTCATTCATCAGTTATTTAACATGATCCCCATCTGTCGACGTGGATGTAATTCTACATTTGATGTGCTTTAATCTCATCAGACGTGTAGTTTCATATTATTAGATCGCTAATGTAATCAATCAGAATATTGTATCTGATACGTGAACCATAATGTGTTTTCCTTTTGCTTAAATGCATGTCATTTATTTATGACCAACGAAACCTGCTTGACAGCTTGTATTTTAATTAACAACTCAGGAAAGGAGTTATTAATATGCATTTTGGGAATTTATTAGACAGTATTCCAGATCTGTTGTTTATTAGTTCAGCTGATGATTTCATCACAGCTCTGCATCACCTTTGGCCCTGATCAATGTGTGTTTACACTGTCAGTCTTTGTCAGGACTCTTTGCTTGACACAAATTCTGGACTCGAAAACATTTCATTTTCTTATTTTACAACTAAAAATAAATGTAGCCTAGGTACAGAAATGCTCAGAATTACATCACTTCATGACTAGTTCTGTGAAGTATTGTCTCATGAAAATGAGATTAAACGTACGAGTCATTGTTGAACCCTTTGTTGTCGTTCAGAATCTGAAATCATGCATCACCTGTTCCCTCACAGGACAATCATCCACAGTGACAAGCGCAACAGCTGTGATGGGGAACGTTTAGAGATGGAGAAGCAGATAAGGTGAGTGTGTTCAAAGACAGACTGCCAGCAATGCTGAACAATGCAGCATTTGTACATTGCTTAGTTTTTTTTGTCTCATGACTATTTCTAAGAGTGTATTCATCACTGTGTTTGTAGGTGTGGTGAGGAGGACGGTTCTGGAGAGAGGGGACTTCTCCACACCTGGAGGGGATATTCTTACAGCACCACACCAGAGAGGGTGCTGCTCTCCCGGCCAGTGCTCCAGGCTGCCCTGGGAGCTAGACATGGCGTTCTGCTAGTAGAGGGTAATACATTTATTATTCACACATGCAAATTTGGCTGGGCAACTCTGTAGAATCAAAAAAACTAGTATTCGATGAGCTCTTTGTTAACAGGTTAAAGTCAACATCAAAGTGGATGCTATTTACATGGTCTTATTGTGCTTATTAACAGGGGCGGATTTAGTGAATTGGGGGCCCTAGACAAAATATAGGAATGGGGCCCTATACATTTGCACACATTTCCCTAGATCAACCTTGAGGTTCGTTTTTTTGTGTGATGCTTGCTGCTGCACAATGGTGCCCCATAGTTGTGTCCAATGTTTCTACATTTTTCATGTACATGTTATAATGGCTTTCTTTCACGTTGCAGACCACGAAATAGCAACGGAGTTACAGTTGAGATATAGGTTTTCACAAAAACAAAATAAATTATAAAATGATAAACCTCAAAATTGAGCGTCAGACGTATAAATTGCTATAAAACCGGGTTATGTGGGTGGATTTTCGCCTTGAACAAAAACTACAGACTGGATTATTGAAAATGAACATTCATTCTCTGCCAGTAGGAGGCGCTTTTGGAACGTCAGAAATATAGAATGAGAAAAGTGTGGAAAAAATATAACCTATATTGATGTGGAAAGTCCACTGATGAGTTATCAGCATAAGCCTGTGTGCAAAGACAGAAATATAGAATGAGAAAAGTGTGGAAAAAATATAACCTATATTGATGTGGAAAGTCCACTGATGAGTTATCAGCATAAGCCTGTGTGCAAAGACTGTCTAATTCTAAACTTTAAAATACATTTATTTTTTGTTATTTTAACTACAAATTTAAATAAAACTGAAAAAATAATGAAAAGGCACACCTAAACATTTACACACCTAAAGATTATATCAAATAAAAAAGTAACTGCGTCCTCTATACTTTCTCATAAATGAGTAAGCGGCATTTAAAACAATTATAACCATAATACACACTGTTTCTCAATATTTAATTACAGCTTCAGATGCATCCTATTTTCATCTCCTTCAAGCAGGATACACAAAGAGCACGTTCAGTTCAGACGGTTGTCATGGTAATAAACACCGTAATCGGCAACTGTTCGCGTGTCAGCGCTTAATGCGCATCTCCTATATGAAAAGCATTTTAGGGGGCCCTTGGCTTTTAGGGGCCCAAGGCAGTCACTTACCTTTGCCTAATGGGTAAGTCCGCCCCTGTAATAACATGATCTGCCTTGCCAAGCTGACATCATCAGCTGTGATAAGTCTTAGAAAAGTAGCACAGTGATTTAAGAGGATAGATCACCCCCATAAATAACTACTCATCGATTACTCACTCTCATGTCATTCCAAAACCTGTTTAACTTTAAATGACATTTTACGTTTGCAATTTATTTTTAGGCAAATTATCCTAAAATGAAAAATAATCGAGATGGGATCAATAACATTTGCATACATGGAAGTGCTCTCAAGGGTGAATGTGACCCGGCAGCCTACACAACAAGTATTTATTTTGTGTTGTTGGATATTTGTTTCACGAGAAAACTGCTGAAAATGTTTCATGTTCACAGTGATTTTCATACTTTTTGACTCTTAAAGGTCCCATATTGTCAAAACTGAACTTTCCTGGCTTTTTTCACGATAACTGAGGTCTAGGGGCTATTTAACTACCATATAAGTTTCAAAACAGTCAGTCCACAGTTAAATGCACACAGCCTGCAAAAAAGTAGCTGTGATTTTTCACGAACCGTTGTGACTTCCGTAAAAAGTTGACGTCAGAACTACACAGTCACCGCCTTCAGTCACCACCCCGAGCACCGCCCACCGTCCCACTCAAACCCCCAGACAGCATCGCATCCATGCTATTGCTGAGCAACGACAACACGGAAACATGTCGAAAAGGTTAACTTTAACCACGAAACCAGATCAGCCGACCTGTAACGTTACACTCTCACTCAAAGGATGGACGATCTGACAGGATTGTTACTATGAGGTGGATCGCATCTAACGTGTGTCTTTCTAGTCATGATGAAGATGTATATACATTTCAATTTCAGCAGGCAACTATTTTTACAGCTACATTATTGTTCCAGCCACAATTAATCACAACAATGTATATACAATTACAAATGATTATATATAAATTGTCAGTTTGTTGTTTTACACACATGCACACAGACATTATTTCATACAGGACATAGTCATGACTCGTGAGATGCAAGAAACATAATCAGTAAACGTGCCCATAACAACAAAAGACAATACTTTATTGAACCTTTTCTGATAAGAAGTATGCGCTGCAAGCATGAGCATTTTTGATGATCATTTCTGTCCAGTCTGCTTGTTTTATCACGTTTAACCACAGCTGTTGTCGTTTTTTTTGTCTGGCAGTGGCAGCAGATATGCGATCAAATTTCTAATTTAAGGCTGTATTATGTCGATTCTGGCACCAAACATCACAATAAGATGATATTTTAAGCTCCTTATGTAGCCGAATCTGCGCTGGTTTGAATGGGCCGCCTCCAGTTTCCCCTTTGTTTTGCTGCCTCCAGCTAGCGCTGTGACGTTGCTGACCCTAGTTACCTGTGGTTGGCCTGGCCGTGCGTCACTCAGAAAACAACAGGCCAATCAGAAGAGA